GTGCTATTTCTCGTAATGAGATTTATTACTGTCTTGTAATAGTTGTTTCTTTCTGCCTTCATGTGAAAAGCTGTTAATAAGATTACATTGAGTAGGCCTAATTATGCTAATTTTATTTAAAGCAAATGCAAATACTGCAGTTATTTGCTTTACCATAAAACATTGAAAACCAGTTTTCATGAAAAGTCTGTCATCGTTTTTAATACGTTTTGAGTTCAAAGGAAGGTCAGTGGAATGGGATTGTTTATTATCTACAGTAGTGTAACTCACTACATTGTTTTAGTTAGAGATAAACCAGCATAAAGATCTTCTGGAGAAAAACAAAGGATTATAATAAGTGAAGGCTAAAGGAGAATTGAAGTAAGTGGTTGGTTTGATGCACAGTTAGGCACTGCATGCTTTGAAAATAAAGGAAATGAATTCTGAAAGAGAGGCTGCTGCTGTCTGGAATTTTCTGACACCTCAATTTGCTTTGAAAAATTCGGAAGTGGAGGTGTTCTTGACTCTTCATGTTTACTTTTTGAATGTTAAACACATCACATATGAGGTCTGGGCATTTTGTTAAATCTTTGCATTTCGTCTGAGTCATGTTAGCTCCCCCAGTGTCCTGAGAGGAAGGTAAGGAAGGATTTCTGTGTCCTTCCTGCAGCCCTTGCTTCCCTCTTCCCTCCAGTGCTGTACTTTAAGAGAAAATGCATAGAGTTAAGAAGAATGGTTCAAGGTCCATTTCTTTCAAGCCATCTGTTCTGGGTTTGATTTGTGTTTGTGTTGCTTTGCATTTAGTTTATCTTTGGGGATATATATCATTTCCTCAATTTAATTTTATAAAATTGCACGAGTGAGTTCTAGGCAAGGCCCAAGCCTGTAGATAGCACATCTAAGTCTGGTGACAGTAACCGTAGCCTCTCAGGTGCGATGGACCACATTCGTGTTGTGTGTTGGCTTCTTATCTAGTCAACAGACTGTGCTCGTCTCTGAGTTATGAAAGGAAAATGAATTTACTGAATTTTCTGCTCCCCATCAGCGTGCTGCTGAGTGGCCAGTCCCTGTTCAGCTCAGTGAGGGCAGGAGAAGTGTCCTCTTGTGCATGGAGGAGTTATGTAAATTAAATATCCTGCACATTGATCGTTAATGTTTTAATTCTGAAGATACATATCTGTTGGGATCTAAAAGCCCATTTTTTTTTATTTGAAGGAGAGTAGTAAGCATCAGATTTATTGGCACAATATTGGTCATGTGAAACTCCAGAAGACCACAGCGGCCCTAATTCGAAGACAGGCGGCCTTGTCTCCTCAAACCATGAATTGACTCCGTAGCTGCTGTCATCCTTTTTCCTGTTGATTGTTGATCTGCCCTGGTGGGTTGTCTGTGGTGACCTGTTTCCCTTATTGCATGTGACTGGCTCGTGGGCGCATCCCTCTCCCAGGCCTTTGGGGTCGAGCCAGGGATTGGGTTTTGTCTGTGTGTTCTGTCCAGCCGCGGTTCAGACACAGCCCCGGGTTGCTGAGTTCAGTCTGTCCTGCTCACTGTGGCTTCCCACACTCCTTCCTTTGGTGCCTCCCTGCTCCCGAGGGGCCTATCCCTGAGCACAGAGTGGTCGGGAGCTGCCCGGTGTGGGCACTGATCTTGGGACAGTGACTGTCCCCGAGCCCTCGGCAGCTGCAGAGCTCCCCCCATGTCATGTCCCTTCTCTGCCCCTTCCGTATTCCTGGTTTTCCCCCCAAAACACAATCCGGACCTGGCAGTCTGTGTCCGGCCTGTGCTCTTCCCTCAGCTGCTCCTGGCTCTTGTGGGCTTTCGGGAACCGTTTTCACCCTAGATTGTCAGCCTTGGTGGGAGCTTTGTGGTCAGGTTCCATGGAGGTTAAGGATGCTAATATTCCTTACTGGAATACGTCAGGGAAAACTACCTGCCTTTTAGGACTTAGGAAAGGTGAGGACCTAATGGAATTACAAGTGGGATCCAGTATACAAGAGATTAATCCTGTATTCATTATTAAAGGAAACAGCCCTCGAAGTTGCTGTTGAGCAGAAGTTTTGAGTCTCTGCTTAAATAGTCCCCACTCAATAAACCTTTTGAGTATGTGTTGGAATCTGAAGCATGTGCTTAGCTGCTGTGCTGAATTGGGGCCTTCATTACCAAATTGCAGGTGTATGCTAGCCTATTTAAAAAAAAAAAGGTATAAATAAAACAGTGCTTATTTTGTTCCATTCAGTGTGGTTTGTTGTGTTAGTGCATCAGAATGCTCTAGCGTGGCTAACTTGTCTGAAACTGGTTAATACGACTTACATCGTGGGTGAGGGGTCTCACTAGATCCTGTTGAGACAGTGTCTAGTGGAGACTTAGCATCAAGTTGGTGAATGATTAAAAAAAATGGATGTGGGATTTCAACTTTTTTACTTTTCTGTTATATTACAGCATAATGAGGCTTTTTTGTTTTTATGTTTAAAAGTGTGTTTCAATTATGTTGTGCAAAGGCTTGTGTGGATATTAGAGCATGTATTATGTGTGTGCAGTAGCTGGGGCTCTGTAAACATTTCCATAATAAACCTCTCTGTATGCTGTGGCTTAATAAGTTGCCCGTAAAAATGTGCTTTGGGCAGAAAAGTGGTGTACCAGTCTGCCTGAAAGCGTGTGCTTTATTTAAAAAGAAAAAAAGCTCTCTGTGTGTTACGGAAACATTCAGATGCAGCAAATGACATTTTAAATCTCCAAATTTTCCCAGCAGAACTTTTTATCATTTTCCTTAATTGCACATTTAAAAAAAAAAACTTTTCAGTTGCTTTACGTTGATCTTTGCGTATCTTACCCTTTTGTACCCTTACAATGTGCCCTGTCATACCAAAACTCTGAATTGCATTACTTCATGTTCTTTAGGAATAGTATTTATGAATTACATTAGTTCAATTTTGTCCTGGACTGCACCTCTGAAAGCTGAGATGATTTATCAAGATCAATAGAAATGATTATATAGTCAATGAATTTTATTTTATTTTATTTCAAATCTAGCTGAGAATCAGAAGAATAAGACATCTATACCTAAATCATTCCTGATAGATATTTGACCTGATCTTAAAATAAATAAATAAGAAATATACCCTTGTGGAGCCTTATCTACACAGACTAGTTCAAAGCTCAACTAGCCTTTCCAGTATTCCTAATGTCAGAACTAAATCTGCCTTTTTGCATTTCAAGCTTTATACATATACTTGAACTGTTTATACATTTGTTGTAGATAAAACATTACTTTCCTATTATATAGCTATAAAACTTTATACATTTTATGTTTGAGAACTCATCTAACTTTAGATTTCTTTTTATTAGACTATTTTTCCTGGACCAGCGGGTCTCACTGCTCTCCCCTAAGCCTGTTTTCTCAGTCTCTGGTCATTCTGGTTATTTTCTGTGGGACCCAAAGTCTCTAGTTATTTCACCCATTTTCTGACAAGTAACAAATATTCACAGACAGGCACGTAGCTGTGGGCCCGTGAAAAGGGAGCAGAAGGATAAATCACGGGTCTGTGTGCGGATGTTTGTTCTTTCATGCACACATCTCAATGTCTATGGTATGTTTAACAACTCGAACATGTCTGTGGTACATTTAACATATTTTTTTCCTGGTGACTCAGCTGAGATGGAGAAGGGAAAGTGCAGCACGAGCTGTGTGGTTCCAGCGGTCCCCAACACGGTGGGTGCCCTGATGCCCCTGTCCCCAACACGGTGGGTGCCCCGATGCCCCTTTGAGCCACCCCTGCGCAGGCCTGTCTCACACTCTGGAGAGCTGAGCGCTGCAGGCTGTTTCTCCCTTCACCACCAACAGAAACCAACATAAAGCCAGAGCTGCACTATGCTAGACGGGACCGCCAGGTCTTTGTGGCACATTCCCTTGCGGAAAATAGCGGCCTGTAATGGAAAACAAGAGAAAAACTGTCAAAAAAAGTGCATGTTAGTGTACTGTAAAAGCTAGGAAGTCTTTCCTTTTGCTTAGCAGTGCTGTGACTGTCAAAGGGAGCAAGAAGCTCTTGCTCTTCACTGCGTATCATCTGAGCAGCACTAATGTCGCTGGTCTGGGTTCGCTTGGCGTTCGTGTGAGTGCTTGTGACTGTGCTGCAGGTCATGAAGGAAAATGCACTTTGATTCTCTTGTTTGACCTTTGAATATACACACATGTGGTCAAGAAACCAGGATGTTTTGGTTGCATCCTGGAATAATAATACATAAATCTACTAAAAAAAAAAGAAGTGTTTAATAGATTTATGCTTTCATGTCAGTCTGGTTTTATAAAATATTCAGTGTGCTTGTGTTATTTTACTGAAAAGTTTAATACCATGTGAAATGCTTAGGAAATAGATTTTTAGTAGGTATAAATCATATTTTTCACTGGATGTTTGCCTCTAGCATTCTGTAGCTTTCTTTTGCCTTTGTTCTGATATAAAATATCTGATTGATGCCTGAAACCTTCCCACTGCAAGGTTTGTGAAATTAAATAGGAAAGAAAATAAGGCTAAAAGAAAAATAGAATGGAAGAAATAGTAGAATAATGTGAATAGTACTTGCATGTGCATTTTAGCTGCCATAATATTAAGACATTATTCCAGCTAAGGCAAAATATGGAGTATACTTCAAGAAATAAAATGTGAATGTCTCAATTTCTGGAGTGTTTTTCTCTTATGTTTTAACTACATTGTCAAGTAGTGAGAGAGAAGTAGCCTCTAGCTATGAAGTAGTTGAATGAAATTCGAGGAAATAATTACAGCCATTACACGATGAGTTATTTCTGTTTTCTAGCTTGTTTTGCATTTACTGTGCAGCACTTGAACAATGTTGACGATTTTCAGATTTGTTTTGCAGATAACTGTTAGCTTGTTTGTATTTACCAGAGAGAAGATGCTGCAATTTTGTTAACCGATATTTTTTGGCGGGAGAGGAAGGGAAAAGAGAAAGGAAAAAATAAAGGTAAGAGTAACTAAGTAACCCTTATTTTTCTGTTGTTTTCAAAGGGAGATCAGAGATGGCTTCAGAAGGAAAAGCTTCTATCCTTCCCATTATATGCGAGAGCGATCCCCCCATAAGAGGGACTCTCCTTTCTTCAGGGAATCGCCCGGGAGCCGCCGGGATTCTCCGCACAGCCGCTCTGGCTCCAGCGTCAGCAGTAGGAGCTACTCTCCTGAAAGAAGCAAAGTCTATCCTTTCCACCAGTCCCAGCATAGCAGAAGTATGTCATCTTTACATAAAAGAAATATTTCTTCTCAGCAAGGTAATGCTGGATTGATGATGAAAACTGGTTAGCGAGGTCAGCCTGACTGCCGTTCTATAAGACCTTTCTCTTTCCGTGTTCTCTTATACAATGAGGGCAATAGATGTTTTTTTTCCAATTCTGTTACCTGCTGTGTAGTTGTTTCACTGAACTCCCTGTTCCCTTATGTATATATCTGTAGAGACTTCGTGTGGGAGACTGCAGGTGTTATTTCAATAGCATCTGTACCCTCAGTACACAACTTTTCCAGAATAGTGTGTTGTATTTTTTTTCTCTCTCCAGTTTGTCTCAAATCTTGCTTTCTGCAAAGCAATATAAAACATATCTCAGTCAAATTTTGTATATTCTGCTTATTGGAAGCTTAGTTGTTAGTCTTTTCCAGAAAGCTAATGAAATATGTTATTGAAATGTTATGTTACAATATCAAGAATACTTGATTCTTTTGTGTTTAAATAACCTACAAAAATAACCAAAAGCAGTTAGTTTTTAAACATACTATGATCTTACCTAGTGCTGCTTGTGAGGCTTTTGGGCATTATTCACATTAGATTTCCCTGACTTTCTGCAAAAGTTTTCTGTAAGAGTAAAGCAAAGCTGCTGTTTATCTTGACAGCAATTTTTGTCTTTCAAAAGAAGACTAATTGCTTCACAGGCTTCACAAATCTCCGATTTCTTTATTTGTTTCTGTGACAGGATGTGGGGCTGTTAGGTAGCACCTTTTATATGAAAAAAAATCCTGTGGTGTTTGTCAACATTGCTTAATTAGTGAGTAATTATTTCACCCGCTGTTGAAAGGCAAAATATGTCTCTAGCTGGGGAATTTAAGAGATGTTCAACTGAAGTTATAGGAGGATTATAGATGTGCAGATCATATTTAGTAGGAACAGCAAAAAGTGCTGAGAGAAACAAGATAAAACTGTGGAATCCTTCAGCAGTTCCTGCAACTTGGCACAGTTTCTTTTGTGTTTGTTAGTGAAGTGGAGGCAGATAACCTCAGAAACCAGAGAAAAGAGTCAAGAGAAAGGAAGGTGAGAAGAGGTGCTTAAAAAGTGTCGCATCTGATTGTGTAGTCAGGGTTTTGTGTGGTAGGTTCAAAAATACTTACAGACATTCAAAGTAAAAATTCTCCCCATAGTATCTCAAAAATAAATAGCAGCTTCTCTCCTTAATTTTAGTTCATTTACTGTCACTTTTTTCATCTGGTTCCACTATTCAAATAGAGCTGTATAATATACTCATCTGAAATGATTTGTAGCGAGTCTAGTGTGATGAAGGAGATGTGTGGAAGGCAGAGTTTGAGTAGTTTGGGACACTTAAAGGGAGGTAGGATACATATAGAGTGTTGTAAAGCAGGTATTGCAAAGACAAAACTGCTTTGTTAGTGGGAGCAGGGAGATGGTCTGTGATTCTGGGAGGATGTGGCAAATTAAAGATGTGATTATTTCCATCTTCTTTTTCTGTTTGTGTCTCATGTGTTGACTTTGCAGAGCTTAACTTTTTTTACAGCCTTTTTTGTTAGTTTTCATTTGACTATTGAAAAGCCTTTGTGGTTAAGGGTAACTCATAGTTCATCTTTGGTTTTGTGGCCACTGGAAATTCTTTAATATGACTGCTTTTTTTTTTTTCCAATAAGTTTTCTATTTAGTGTTTTTATCAAGGGTTTTTGGAAGTTTACTTTTGCCTGCAGTTTACTGCAGTTTATAGTCCAGCCATGTGCTGTCTTGCCAAATGCCATCAGTGTAAAAGCAAAAATACATTTGTCTGTTGTCTTCCCCCAAGTATTTTCAGCAGCATAGTCAAAAGAAGCATCAGTAGCTGTGAGGATTTTGCAATTGTTTAATTGTTTCCTAAGCCTCTGGCAGGGCAGTAACTCACTTGCCTCTAACAGTGTGCAGAGGTGAGCAGTGTTTTGATGTTTGCTGTGTATGAATAGTCTCCCATATACACACGATACCATGAAATATGCATAAAAGGTAGAAGGCAAACTTTTCAAATGTCTATTATATATTGTGTACATTTTGCATAGACTTATTTTTATAGATAACTATTTTTAAATACAAACAATATTGGGTGCAATCTTAATTTATAGCATGAAGTATGTAAAGAAATCTGCATTTCTTTACATAGAATTTACATAGCTCATTTAGGAATGAGATGTCATATTTTCTCTTTGTTACTTGAACTCAAATTATCATAATTCTATTATGATAATCTAGTTATAAAATAAGTATTTAAGTATTTGATAGACTATATCTCTTTAACTGAATGAGTATATATGCAATTGAAACCACAGTAAGTTTCTATCAGCAGTTTTTGATATGTGAATAGTCAAACATTATACAGTGAATGTGGCTGGTGTCGTGAGTTAGGCCTGGTGACAACAGATCTGCTTCAAACACAGTCTAGCCTGTTGTTGATGTATCCCACTGTATTTATATAATTTGTATAATTCTATAATATCATATGAATATATGATATTAATATAATAAAAAGATAGGAATTCTTAATTTCACTTTTTAGTAAGCTCACTCTAGGAATATTACAAAGCAAATCTATATCACCTTGCCAAATCATATTGATATGCCCTTTCAGTTAAATGCTGGAAAAAAGAAATGCACACTGTTATCACATTGATGCTTGCCAGCAGACAGCTAGAGGGGAAGATGGGGACTAGCATAGATTTCCTGTCTGAATTAAGCAATTACCCCTCCAGTTTTTCCAAGCGAATAAATATATTTGCAAAATACATCTTTAATTTTGCATTTTTTTTTAATTTTAGGTAAAGAGAGGACTTCATCTCAGTCACTGAAGACGTCCAGAGACGCGTCGCCGTCAGGCTCCACAGCAGTGCCCTCAGCAAAGGTGAATTTCCTTTCCGAGCGCTTCTCTCGGCCTGGCTGCAGGTCGCTCCCCTCCTGCAGGGGCACAGATCCTTTGGGAGGATCTGCAGCTGTTAAGGAAAAGGGTATTTTGAAATGTTGTGCAGCCCAACAGATGGGTTTCTACTAACTCCTCCTTTGGTGGGGAGATGCTGATAATGCTGTGAAGCTACAGACAAAGGCAAGCCTTTTACTCCATACCACTTTTTAACATTGTAGGAGAAGGAGACTTTTGAATGTATTTTAAACAGATATTTTCCAAAATCTGTAATGGTAGAGAAGGAATGAAAATGGGAAACCAGGTGTTAGGAACAAGTGACCCACACGACACGTCTGCACTTGCTCTGAACTCGGTGCTGCTGAAGCTGTCGCTGGATTTGGAAACAGTGTCATCCCTGTCAGCCTGGTGAAGTGTCTGGCTGGCAGAGCTGACCTGCAAGCAGGGCTGCTGGCAAGAAAGGTGCCATTTCCTTGGGAACAGAGCTGCATGCCAAAACAGTTTGGTCAATGCCATTTCTGAGCGATGCTGTTTAATGTCCCATCCAAAAATCTTGTGGGCTGAGCCCCAACTACATGATTATGCTAATTTGTTGAAGAGACAGGCTAATAAACACTAGTGAACAATCAGCATTCACTATTGCTCTCGCAGTTCTGTGGCAATAAAAAGGTTTTTGCTTCACAGGCTGCTTGCCTTAAAATTATATTTGAGGTTAAAGTGAGCATTTCTATGGGAACGTTTACCCTGAATTTTTGAGAAGTACTTTAACGAGAAGTAAGGAAACAATGCAATATGTTGTTCTAAGTGAATAAGGTGCTGTAAAAAGCAGCATTCTCCCAAAGTGGCATAGTGTACTAGCTTAGTTTTTTGAGTCTTTTAAAGAAAAACAGTGGAACACTTAAAGGGAAAACATCTTGTAAGGAAGAAATGTGCTATTTTGTGCAAAGGTGAGACTGAAGGAAATAATTAGCAGGAAAAAAAAAAGAAAATAAAAGCAGGCTTTAGTTATGCTCTGTCTCTCTAAGTGGTTCCTCCCTATGCAGCTGTTCAGAAGCGCTGCACGAGGCACCAGCTCGTCGCTGATGTCCTGAAGCGAGGAGGCCTCAGGGTGCTCTTAGCCATGTAGATGGGCTGAGCGAGATGAAAGCTGGTCCATGGCACAAGTTGCACTAATTTAGATTATAAAATAAATTTTATAATTAGGCCACCTGTTTTCCTGACGAACTTAGCATATTGCTGCTTAATACTAAATCCTTGCTTAATACAAATGTGTTGCAAAATGTTTTACTTGGCAGTAATATGGAGTGAAAGCTTGAACTGTCAAGCACTGCTTAAACACTTTGCTTTCCTCCTCAGTCAGCTCTAATCTCTGCTGTGCTGTTTTGGTGCCAGAGGTTTGCCTGGATCCACTGGCAGAGCTGATGTAGGATACACACAAATAGGAGACTTCAAATCATTTCCCTGGATGGAACAGATATCTGCCCAGCAAACAGAGCCCTGGCACAGGCTGCCCAGGGAGGCTGTGGAGTCTCCTCCTCTGGAGATCTTCCAATCCCACCTGGATGCCGCCCTGTGCCCCGTGCTCCGGGTGTCCCTGCTGGAGCAGGGAGTTGGATGGATGATCTCTAGAGGTCCCTTCCAACCTCAGCCATCCTGTGGCTCTGTGAAGCACGAGCTGCAGGAATGAGGTGTGTGCAGTGCAGTGCTGTTCAGCACTTTCTCCTGTACATCCCGTCCATCCTGCTGCCCAATCCATCAGTGGGGCCTCCGGGAGCGGTGGCTGGGCTCCTCCAGCCAGGGAGGCTGTGCAAGTGTTTCTCTGACCTGGAAATAGCAACAACAAAAGCTTCAATGGCACTTGATAAACATTTCTAGGGTCAGAGTCTTGCAATTTAATTAAACTTGATAAATGAGCTAGATGTTTTTACTTTAGAGCTTAGAGTGCTAAACACTATCACATTTAAGTTATAATTTACCTTTGAAATAGTTGTTATTCTTTTTTTGTGCTTCTGCAGCAATATCACCTTTCAGTGTAGATACTGTATGCAAATCTGAAAGATATTTTATCTGTGCCTTTTAATTATTTTTCTACATATTCATGCATATGAATTAAGACATGTTGGTGTTATCTGATCTTAAGCATCTGTTTAGTTAACTGCTGCATGAAATCTTTTGTGTTTTTCTTTAATAGCTGTCTGGACTACAAGCCTTGGAGGCTGTATCCAACATAATTAAAGCAAAAGGTAGATGTATGAGACAGGGAAATCTTCCCAGCAAAGATATCAGTAAGCTGACAGGTTTTTGCTGTTATTATATTATGCATAAGAAAGGAGCGGGGGGAGAAAAAAGCAAGAAAAAAGCAAACACCTTTTTTTTTTTTTCCCCCACAGGCTTTGGGTGTTTGGGGTTTTCTGGTTTATTTTTTACTTTTCTTATTTAAAAAGAAAAAAAAAAGATTATTCTCAGAGGTGCATTTTTGGTACTTTAAACCTCAGTAGTTGAAAAACATGCAGATATTTTTCTCTGAGAAACGTTTTCACCTTCTTTAAATTTTCCTACTATCCTGCGAAAATACCATTATTTTGTTACATAAAGTGCAGTCAAGAGGTTTTTTTTTAATGCATAGACCTGTAGATTTAATATAATAAGATTAAGTAAATCAAATTCTCTTTGCTGTATTCCCATAGGTAATTGAGTGGTTAGTTTCCACAAGCCATAGCTTGTGGAAATATTTAAAGTCATGTGAGATTTTATTTATCTTCATCTCATGCAAAGCTGACTATCAGTGACAAAGATACTGGTCTTTTCTTTTTGTTAGTATTGGCCTGAGGTGCATTTGAGGAAAGGGAGGAGTGTATAATGGAACCATAATACAAGATTTTTTGGCAGCTACAAAAAAGTCAGGCTTAAGGTAAAAGTGAGGCGTCCTTTGGGGGGAAAAACGTGTGGGGAGGACGGGGGGAGAACTTGGCAGCTGTAGTTGGTGGAGAGGGTAGGAATCATTCCGTAGCTGGGAAAGGTGAGGTACATTATGCTCCATTATGAATTATATCACCCTCCCTCTTAGCAACCCTATTACTGCCCTGTCTGCAAGTCAGACTTCTCTTAGGCTGTGCTGCTTGCTGACTTGTTTAATTCTGCAATTTCTAATTCTGGAATAAATAGTGATAGAGAAGAGGGATAAAGGCGTGATGCTGAATCCCAAAGGGCTCTGTCCCTGCTGGTCTACAGGTGAATTCTGCCCTTATGCCCATGCCACAGCACAGAGATGTACACAGTGTATTTACCTGAGGGAACACCAGCAGGGCTGAAGATGAAGCAGCCTCACTGCACGTCACAATATTTCTCTCCTTTGCCTGTTGATCCAGTTTCAAATGAGCTGATAGTAACTGGCCCAGGATTTTTGGGTCTGGATTGGTTAAGTAACTAGAAACCAGCCTTTGGCTGGAGATTGTGGCAGCCTTCCAGACAGCAGCATTTCTTTGTGTATTTTTTGGATCTAAGTGCTGCAGTTCTGGATATTGCACTTGTATTGATTCTTGAGTGGATGCTTTTGTATATACAGTTGTACAAATAAAGCATCCACATGTTGCAAATGAGATTCATAAAATTAGCTATTCCTCAAGTTTTCCGTACATGGGTATTTGTCACCATGTATTTGTAGAAGCTGGATCATATTCTTAAAGTGAAATCAGTTTTTATATACTACTTATGTGACCATTTCCATTTGAAAAGGTAGATGAAAAGTCCATAAATCCACACCTGATTCTATAAATGATCAACATTTATTCCAAGTAAAAATTAGTGGTTTTTAATAGATGTGTTTCTGATCATTTAAAATTTGTGTAGTTACTTTCTAAATACGGATAGGGTTCTTCCTGTCCTCAGTTAGCTTAGGTTGTGCAGCATGCTGTACAGCATGTTTACTGCTCCAGCCTTTTGTCCCTGCAAACTGAATTTAATTTTCAACTCAGTCCCACCTGTTTCCAACTTCTGCTTAGCTCCCATTTGATCCAAGTCTCTTTAAACTCAGTAAAAGTGTGGGACTTTTTTTCCATTCCATCTACCCTGTGAACTTAGTAACATTGACACTGCAAGTAGCGTTTTTAACGTCCTATTGACATTCATTGAATTCTTTCCTTTTTTTTTCTAGTTTTTTAACCAATCAATTAGCAAATAAGGTATCTTCACGTTGCTTTCCTTTTAAAATATTTTGGGATCTGACTAACTCTCTAGTTTTTAAAGGCGCATTTCCGTGTATAAAGGCATCCCGTGTTAAAGCTCCTCGGTGCTGGTTCCGTGCAGGCCTTGGACAAGAGCAGCAGACTGACGGAGAAGGAGCTCGCGGAAGCTGCCAGCAAGTGGGCGGCCGAGAAGGCGGAGAAGGCGGATGAAGGCAACTTCCCGGGAATCGCCGACTACCAGGTAAGCCACGACCTCCAGTTTGCCCCTGCGTTTGCCTCTCTGGGCTGTGATTATGGAAAGGAAGAAAGAGGGAGACTGAAGCCTTGTGCTTTGTGATTTTTTGGGGGGTTATTTACCAAAATAACTGCAGGGGACCCTTGTACTGGCGTAAGGGTGCCTGCCTGCTGAGCTTCCTAAAAGCAGCAAGGACCTTCTGAGGTACTTGGAGGGGACATTTGAAACACAAAACTAGGAGGAAAAGTCTGGTTCTTTGGGTTCAGTTCCCTGCCAGGGCAGCCTGCTGTGTCACGTATTCTTTCCAGAAAGCAGCCCTCTTCCATCTTAAAAATTAGATTTTTATTTATGCTAGATTTTTTCCCCAGGACTATTTATTTATTTATTTATTTATTTATTTATTTATTTATTTATTTATTCATTCTCCCATTAATACTTAACATTCTTTGGACTGTCGGTTTATACCCATCTGTTCTCATCTCTCCTCGGAGTCTGCCCTTTGCTCTGTTATAGCCTGTATCAGTCTTCATTTCGTTTGCTGCCCTTAGATAGGTGCTTGCGTTGTTTCTTTGTCTGATTTTGCTGCATTGGGAGTCATGTAGTTGTTGCTGCCATCCTGTCAGGATTACTTCTACTGATGTGCTAGCAGAGTAGGCTCTGCAAGCATTGGTTAGGGCACCTCAGGGAAAGCTGAGTGGTCGAGTTTGAACATTTTGAATCGACTTTTCTGAACTAAGCCATTGGATTTATGACTGAAGTTAGTAAGTTGGCAGTGTTCGTGCAGCTAGATTGGTAAGGGGTTAGCAAACCTCTTGCTTTTTGGCTCAGATGTGGATCTTGTGGCAGTGCAAAGAATACATGTAGTTAATAACCTGAATCTCTGACTGTAGGAGCACACAGGTCAGTGGGATTGCTGCTGTGTGTAGGTCTAGATGTTCTCCATCACTTAGATGTTGTCAAGGGCCGTTCCAGAGAGGAGGAGGCTCCTGAGGGAGCCCTTGTTGCCTTATTTCTCTAAATAGTTTTCAAGAATTCCCTGCTATGCTCTCATGAACGTGTGTTAATGTGTCTTGAGACTTTGAGTCCCACCGACTTGTGGACTCATCAAAGCTGACCCACCCAGGCTGGTGAGATTGGTGGGCAGTAATTTCTGGCGAAGATGGTAGCAAGTCCTTAGTAAAGATGGTATTTTTAGCTAGCACCTTTATCCCTAAAAGGAAACTTCTCTCTGTCATTTGGTATACAGCAAATGTTGTGCAGTGGGTGTTTTGTGAGTAGTCTGTATTAATCCTGCAAGCGTTTTAGTTATCCTTTTCTTCAATTTGAGATGAAAGCTGAGGATGATGGAATTCGTTGGAGATGAAGGTTTGAGATGATGGCTATAGTTTCTCCAGAGTCTTGCACGTGCTGCTTCTGGGTGTCCTCAGATATATCTTGTGATCTTAAATCCCATGGACATCTCTGTCTTTGTAGAGATCATTGTGTTTGATTATAGTCATGTAACCGTTAGGTGTTGATGGAGAGAAAAAAGTCACCTCGTGTTCAAGAGACAGTTCATCCCTGTGCAACCTAACTACCTAGGTTATAACCTAGGTAGTTTCTATTCAGTCTGACTCCATTAGCTCAAGGTGAGAGTGATTAGGGCCTCTCCCAGCAATAGAATCCCAGGCTGTCCTTTTCCTGCATTTCCAGTGGATAAGCTCAGAGCGTTTAGCACAAGGTCTTCTTGGTTCATGAATAGCAGCCTTTGTACTTCACTGTCTTTCCTTATTTCTGCTACTCCAGTCTTCAAGATCACCCTGCTTTGTTTCCTGCTGGTTGTGCCTCCCAAATTGGCTTCACTCAATTTTATTTCTTAATAGTAGGAGGTACTTGTGTGCATCTTTCTCACTTCTCAAGTCTTTTGACTGTTTTACTGTTGTATAATACTGCATTTGAATATGCTGCAGTAATGCTTTCTTTTTCCATCTCCTTGCAGTGGGAGTTGGTATAGTCCGAGACAAGGGCACGATCTTATTTCTGTCTTGAAGGAAAACTCATATAATGTTGGTAGTCCTGAAATTTCTTTCACAGTATTAGGAAGCCTCTAAGTGGCATTTACTTTTGCAATTCAGCATATAATGTATTCTGTTGTTTTGCCTGTAGGTTTGAATGTTGAGCTGAGCTGAGCTCTTTTTGGCGACCCTCTAGTTTGGTCATTTTTATTTATCTGTGATTTTAATTCTTTTTATTCTTTCCCAGAAAGTTAATCCCACTCTTATTTTGGCTTTATTGCTCGTAGGTGTTGCAAATATCACCTATGTGAGTCCTTTGCCAAGGAAGAGCAAATAAAGGTTGTCCAACATCATTCTTCTCCCAGCTTTAAAGACTGAGTCCCATTTTTTCACGATGTCACGTTATCTATGGATTCTAAATTCCTTAACTGTAGCTGCTGCCTGGTAGCAGTAATATTCCACTAATAGCCTTGATGAGCAAAGTTATATCTAATTGAATAACCATATTTGCTGTTTGTATTTTCCTCTCCGATCTTGAGATCTTTATTTTGCTCTCCCAAATGTGAAAAATCTTTTTCTTTGAAGGCTGGCTCCTCAGCTCCACTGTACGTTGAACAAGCAGAGGAAACGGAAGCGAATCTCACGGATAGTCCGGAGTTATTTGAGGATGGCCACGTCGGCCGATCAAAGGCGATTGCAGCCAAGACCAAGGAGATCGAGCAGGTGAGTCCTGCAGGCTTTGGGGCACTGGCTGTGTCCTCTCTTTAGAAATATATCTTCTTTTCTGCTCTCCTTGGAGCATAATATTAATGTTATTTGATCCCGTGAGATAGCATCTTACCCTATTTAATACTTATATATCACTGAAGAAGTATGAAATTCTTTCATATGCAAGAATTAATGGTAACATATGTGGCAGAACTATTTTTTCCATCCAAAAAAATGACCATTTCTTTGAATAATTGTTTCGGATTCAACCATACCACAAGTACTTGAAATACACTTAAAATGTGAGATTGAATGAATTTAATTTCAGATTGTAATGCTCTTAAATTATATACTTAAAATATGGAGCTGAACTCTTAAAAATAAGAACTTACAGATTTTGTTTTGATTGCAACATTTTATATTTGGCTGAGAGTAGGATATTGTCTAATATATCATTTTATTGTGCTTGAAAATGTCCTATTCTGTTCCTTCTGGAGTACTTGGAGATTTATTTAGTATGTAGTGAGATTTCTCGTACTCTTCCTCATAAATTTGAGCCTTTGAGAAAGTTTAGTGGAAATTTATTCATCTGTCAACCTATCAATTAGTCCTTAGTATCGTGACTGCAAGTTAAGCAAAATATCTACAGTTACCTACTGGTTTTCATGTATCAGTAACGAAGTGATTATGTTTTATTTCTGTGTCCTTTAGAAATGGAGGTTTTGGAGGAAAGTGCTCTGACTTTTCTTTTTTAGGACTACTTTGTCCAAATCTGGAGACTTGCATTTAAAATTTCTGTGTGAGTGGGAGAGGTGACTTTATTCAAACTTGTTCTGCCTTCAAATGCTGACAGTATGTGCCTATGATAGGCTGAAAGGAAATCAGATCTCTTATCACTTCTCCTCCTCATAGCTTTCTAATTTCAGGAAAAATAGCTCCCTGCTCTTGTCCTGGATAATCCTTGGAAGCTCATTTGGGAGCTCCATTTTCCCCCTTAATTCCAGTGGCCATTATGGCATCGCCTGCAGGCCCCTTTGCTGTGCTCTGACACCATTCCTTTTCCTTAACACTTTAATGCAGATTCCTGCTTGGTTGTTTTTGATTCAGCTTTTTAATGATGATTTTGTGTAACTCTGTGTGTTTCCCACTTTGCAGACTGTAGCTTGTGGGTCATGGTGTAGTTTGTGGGTTGTGCCTGGCAGCCTGTACAGGGCTGTACAGGGAATCAGCTACTGCCAAAGAGATAATTTTGTGACTTGTTTAAAACCCACAAAGTGCCAGTGTTGAAGAATAGGGGCAGATCTTGAGAAAACAGCAGTTGTGGTCATTGTGCTGATAGATGGGTGGTGAACTCAATTCTGGGAAAGCTCTGCTCCCAACTCCTAGGAATGGGCTATAAAATCAAGGCTGATGAGCACTTGGGCTTAGTAAAGTTAGATATCTCGTAAAGGACATTCCTCTTATCTGGTGGAGAGCTGGCACTTATCTCCAAACAGATTCAGCTTATGCTCTGCAAAAGAGAGAACTTTTAGGAGCTTATCTCAGAATAGCCTGAGGAATAATTTAAAGATTTTGGTTTCGTAGACATAGAACCAGTTCCTCCTGTTGCTGATTTAAATATTGAAGCTCTCACCTTCCACAAGCTAAAATAAGATTTTTTAGATTGAAACACATTTTCCATACCTTTAGTCAACTGACTAAAGAATAGTCAAAATCCTTATATCTACCTATATATCTATCTATCTAGAGAGAGTATTGGTCTAACCAATTAAATTAATGTTAGACCTAGAACCTAGATTTTTTTCAAGTAGATGTTTAAAAGTAATTAATTGCAACTTCAGCAAGATATTTAATTCCAGAAAATTCAACATTATGCTATAAATGTAAATGCCATAATTGTTTTATAAACTTCGTGAAAATTCACCGTATTTCACAATCGTCGTGTAGCTGTCAGGATATAAAAGTAAATTTTGTTTAGGTGTGTGTGATTTAGATGCTCCAGCCAGGCTGGTGCCCCTGGGAAGGGGGCCTTGTGGACTAGGATATTATTCCCTTTAAGAAAGAAGCAAACAGAAGCTCTCAGCTAATCGAGTGGAATATTCATATGGGCGAGTTTCTTCCATAACTCCATCTCAGTCTCTTATTTATCGCTCATGTTTTGGCTCTGTTGTGATCTATCCATCCCTTCCCTTAAGTTGCAGTGACCCAGTCACCAAATGCAGCCTTGAAATGTAATGTGATCTTAAATGGTTCCTATTAGTCATTGACCATATATTGTTAATATAATATATATACACACGCAGATAATACATGACTGTGCCTGTTCCCATCCCTGCTCTCCGGATAATCCCTCTTTCCAGCACTGCCGGCTCCCCGTCGCTGCCGCCCTGGGCGCTCTCCTGTGCCCCCCGTGAGCTGCAGGTCCCAGCCCTTGCTGCCATCCCCTTCCAACGCCGGGTTTTCCACAGCCACTTGTAGGATCTGGACCTGAATGCAGCTGTGGATGTTACTGTGCTGCTGGCCCGCTTACCCAGTTTCATGCACCTTTTCCTGTTAATCTAACAGCATGTAATATGAATATATTGTTTTGGAGCTGGTTTTGTTTATATCGAGTTAAGGATCAGCTTATGCTTTTAGCACGTAAGGTGCTCTTTTTTTTTTGTCGTTCTGGTTTAATGGTAATTATGTCCCTGGTGTTATATCCACAGTTGGAGCAATTCGCTGTCAGTGTTGCACAAAAGGGAATCTCTTTGTTTTCCCTCGTGGGCCCGAGGAGCAGGCATTCCTGAAGGGTGCTCCAAGAAGCCTGCTGCTTATCTTGTCTAGACATCAGGTCTGCCATGCTGTGCTGACGAGCACATCCTTATGTGTCCAGTTTCCTAAACCTTGCACGGGCAACTTTCAGTGACATAAGTTACCTCGGAAAATCTATTATTTTCTAAAGAGTAATTTCCTGAAATAAGCCAGGTACTTTCCTTGATTTTGGAGAAAAAATAAATCAAAGGTCTCAATTTCTGAATGAGATCTGGCACTCGGATGTCCATTTTTCCATTACCCCAAAGCTCTGGAATTGAAGAAGGAAATATAGGATTTTTTTTTGGCCTTTTTTTCCTTTTTTGGCCTTTTTTCTTGTATGTTTGTTTTGAGTATTACTGCTTACCACTGGGCCTGGTTAATTACTGCTGACTGGATGTTTTCAGTGGAATGATATTTTAAAAGGTTCAGCAGAATAATATTTCAGAATGTGCAAACAGCTAGATTAATTGCTCATTTACTTGTCCTTGTTTAATAACTTTTTTTTTTTTTTTTAACTGGAAGATGCTGAAAATCAGACTTTTCAAAGTTTGCTTTTGAAAGTTCACAGATATGATGCATGGAGAGCAGGTCCAAGGATGTGTGGCTGGGTCAAGAGACTGTCCATCTTCTCGTCCCACATCCACTGTGTGATTCCTGCACAGTTTCAGGCCACTTACTGGGAACTCTGGCCCCAAAGTTATAGTTAAGTGAGTAAACCAGCAAAGTTTTAGCGGTTAAATGAAGAGAAAAATGTTTCAGAAGAATTAGAATATTATGCCTTGTTCTCGTGAGATTTGTGTGGCCATAGCTGAATTGCCAGTATGTGCTCTGAACACTTTCTAATGGGACTCTGATCGCTGGAGATGCTGTCCTGACAGAACAAAGAGGCTGATGGTCCAGAGTGAAGCTCCTCATTGCTAATCCTTGCTTAAGAAAGCCCTGTTTTTAATAGCACACCTGCAAGGCAGTACCCTGGGGTTTCTGTCATGATTAGATGGTGGCACTTTCTGCAACGTGCAGGGTTTCCTCTCATCCCCTGTCCCTGGCTACACTCGGAGCAAAGCCGGTGGGTCAGGATGTGACAGTGGTCACCATGTCTGAGCATGCATGGACAGCACTCGTTCCTCATCTGCCTTCTTCTAGCAGGCCCAGGCCTGGAAATAAGTGCCCCGAGCAGCCATTTAAAAGCTAGTGCTTATAGGATAGTGTCCTCAGATATTTTCTTTAGAGTCTCTTTTCTATTTGTGTGAAACCTACAACGAGAGGTTGCTACTTCTGTGGTATTTACTTCGTCTCGCCTTGGGAGAAATTAAGCTGTTGACAACAGCTGAAAATATAGGGTATTAAATACAAAATACATTTTGCAGCCACCCAGATGTTAAATATCTTTAATGTGGGATTTCTGTTTTTAATGTTACCTGGTCTGAGAGGAAGTGCCATTATCCACAGTTTGTGCTGTTGATGAGTAAATGTGGACTCGAGGGATTGCACAGGGAGTGGAAATGAAGGCAGCAAACAGGCTGGAAGTACTGAGTGTTTGTCGGACACTGGAGAAGAGAGACCCATCCTTGGGAAAGATAAATCCCTGAATGATCAGAGGGATGAGGGCTGAGGAAAAGGATTCCACAAAGCTGTTATAGTTGACATTATCGTCGTCTGAGGTGAAGGAGGCTGAGAATGGAGGTGTCTTCCAGATCTTGGTCAAGAATAAGCTACTGGTAGACCTTGGTAAGTTACATACATAGTTACATTTTGACAGTTATAGTAAAATAAGGAAATAAATCTCACCAACAGGAATCTGCATGTGCTGTGGTTCCTTTCAGTCAAAATTATCCAGACTAGGGAGAAATAAGCTAATGAAAATATGGATTAAGAGGGGAGTGAGTTGAAAGGACCTGCAGCAGGAGCTGGAGAACACGTTGAAGATTATTTCTGGTTCTGGATGAGGTCAGACAGCTCTGTATCTGATGGGAATAGCCCAGACAAGAGTAATAGGCCAGATGAGAGGAGAAGATTGGGAAGTGGTGAATTCTGCTTTCCTTGGATTTTCTGTGGCACTTCAGGTCTTGCATTTTTAATCTACAGTAGCAAAGCTTTAATGATGATCTAATTTGGTTGTATCATAGGAGCTTGTTTACTTTACTTAACTGTAAGAGATTAAGTACATTAGTTTACTTTTCTCCTAACCAAGAAAAGCTTTGTCTCAGTTCCTGCTATCT